CCGGGATTAGAACCGGTGCCCATATGGGATCCCGGCGCATTCAAGGTGAGGACTTTAGTCACTAGGCCAAGCCGCTGGGCCCCCCTCGACGTGTGTTTTAAACAATTTGAAGCATAACTCATGTGCATTTATATTCTGTTATCCAGAACTGAATCAACAATGTTTTTTAGATTTACATGCGTTCACTTCAGTGTCATCATTGTCTGCTACTTGGATATTAATTTATTTAGTGATTTTTTTTATTATTATGCCACAAGAACAGAGACAAAATCATATATAAATAAACTTCTTTTATAAAAATCACATATTGGGCCCAGCGTGGTAACCTAGTGGCTAATGTCCTCACCCTGCAAGCACTGGGATCCCATATTGGAGCTGGTTCATGTCCCGGCTGCTCCACTTCCCATTCAGCTCCATGCTTGTGGCCTGAGAAAGCAGCAGAGAATGGCCCAAGTTCTTGGTGTGCTGCACCAATATGGGAGACTCAGAAGAAACTCCTGGCTTTGGATCAGCTCAGCTCCAGCCATTGTGGATAGCTGGGGAGTGAACCAACAGATGAAAGATCTTTCTCTCTGTCTCTCCTTTACTCTCTAAACCTGTCTTTCCAATGAAAATAAGAAATCTTTCTTTTAAAAAACCATTTATTTCATAGTCAAAGAGGGAGAGTGTGTGTAAGCATACCACCTGCTAGCTCGCTCATTGCCTAAATGCCTGCTGGGTGGGATCAAAGCCTGTAGCTGGAAATGCAAAATAGGTCTCATGACAGTGGCAGAAATTCAGTCAGTTGAGCTGTCACCTTCTGTATCACAGTATCTACAGTAGCAGGAAGGTGAATTTGGGAGCTGTTGAACCCAGGCACTATAATGTAGGACTTGAGCTGCTACTGCTTTTGTTTTATAAGATATGTTTATTATAGGCCAGGCATGAAATCCTAGTGGTTAAAGTCCTCGCCTTGCATGCGCCGGTTTGTGTCCTGGCTGCTGCACTTCCCATCTAGCTCTAGCAGTGGAAGATGGCCCAAAGCCTTTGGACCCTACATCCTCGAGGGAGACCCGGGAGAAGTACCTGGCTCCTGGCTTCAGATAGCTCAGCTCCAGCCATTGTGGCCATTTGTGGAGTAAATCAGAGAACAGAAGATCTTTTTTTGTCTCTCCTTCTCTCTGCATATCTGCCTTTGCGAAAAAAAAAATTTGTTTAATATATATGTTGTATACACTTATATTTTTTAATATATATGTATGCACACACACACACAAATACACTTATTATTGACTTGAAAGACAACAGGAAAGGAGATCTATCTACTGTGTCACTCCTTATTAGCCACAATAACCAGGTCTTGGCTAGGCCAAAGGAGGAAACAAGAATTCTGTCTTTGTTTTTTATTTGGTTAGGTTTGGTTTTTAGTGTTACAGAGTGAGGGGAAGATAGAAATCTTCCATTCACTGGAGCACTCACTATATGGCTTCATAGCAAGGTCCCTGCAAGTGCTTAGGCCCTTGTCTTCACTTGGTAAGCTTGGAGGAGTCTCCAGACTCCTGCCTTCGGCTTTGCTCCAATCATTTTGGCCATTTGGGGTGTGAACTAATGAGTGGAAGATTCTCTCTCTCTCTCTCTCTTTCTCTCTCTCTCTTTCTCTCTCTCTTTGTTCTCTTTCTCCTTCAAATATGTATATATTTAAATATATATATAAGATTTATTTTTATTGCTAAGTCAGATATACAGAGAAGAGGAGAGAGAGGAAGATCTTCCGTCTGATGGTTCATTCCCCAAGTAACCGCAGCGGCTGGAGCTGCGCTGATCTGAAGCCAGGAGCCTGGAGCTCTTCTGGGTCTCCCACATGGGTACAGGGTCCCAAATCTTTGGGCCGTCCTCGACTGCTTTCCCAGGCCACAAGCAGGGAGCTGGATGGGAAGTGGAGCTGCCGGGATTAGAACCGGTGCCCATATGGGATCCTGGCGTGTTCAAGGCGAGGACTTAACCACTAGGCCATGGCGCTGGGCCCAAAATCGTTTTTTTCAAATGTTGATTTATTTGAAAGAGAAAAACGAATCTTCTGTTCACTCCATCTGGGGTCCCTACATTAGTGGTGCTGGGACTGAGTGAAGTACTTGGGCTGCCATCTGCTTCCTCCCTGACACATTGGTGGAATCTGGTTCAAAAGGATAGGTAGGACTTGATTCCAGACATCCCAAGTGGCAACTTAACCTGCTCCATCACAGGGGCTCCTGAATTTTATTTTATGTAACATTTTTGGTTCAGAAAGTTGAGGAATACTAAAGGATCGTGCTTATTAAATAGTAATCATTTAAGACAGGTGTCTGGCCTGGTGCTTAAGATGCCTGCATCCCATATCAGAGTGCTTGGTTTCTGTCCCTGCCCTGGCTTTATTCCAGCTTGCCACTGCACATCCTAGCAGGCAGGGATGAGGGCTCCTGCCACCCATATGGCAGACTGAGATTCAGCTGCCAGCTCCTGATTTTGATCTCTAGCTTAGGGCATTTGTGGAATAAACCGGCTTTTTTTCTGTCTCTCAAATAATTAAGCACATTTTATAGAAACATAAATATATGTCGTTAGTCATTCATTTTTTGTTCAGCAATCTTTGGAGGAATAGCTGATTTATGTCAGGACCAGTTTGAGGTCCTATTAGTATGGAGTGAAGAAGGATTTGTGAAACACAGAGAACAAGCTGTTGTGTGAAGAGGTGAACATGCTATGGAAAAAGTGTAGCACGGCATAATGGGGAAGAGTGTGATAGGATGGGAGCTATTTAGGAAGACAGTTTTGAGGGAAGCAGAAACGTAAGTGAAGAAGATCTTTCAAAAACTATTTTAGGCACTGGGAACAGTAAATGCGAAAACTGTGAGTCAGGATCCAGCTCAGTGAGAACCAGTTTGGTATGCTGAGGAGAAGCAAGAAAGCTGGTCTAACAAGAGCAGTGAGAACAAGTGGAGAGTATTAGGAGATGGGGGGAAGGAAGTAGGCAGCGACCAGATTTTACTGCATGTTATCACCCCTGCATTACATTTTGTGTGTAATTGAATGCCATGGGAGTGTCTCTGGGCAGAGCTGTGACATGATCTGATTTACAAAGTTTATTCTACCCAGTGAGTGGACAACTCGCCCTAGGAAAGGCATGGTCCAAAGCACTGGAATATTTAGGGCCTGACACAGTGGCTCAGTGGCTAAATCCTTCCCCCTTTAAGTACTGGGATCCTGTATGGGCACCAGTTCATGTCCTAGCTGCTCCACTTCCCACCCAGCTCCTTGTTTGTGACCCTGCACCCATGTGGAAGACGTGGGAGAAGCTCCTGTTTCTGGCTTGAGATTGGCTCACTCAGTGACGCAGCTGGGCCTGGAACCAACAGCAATGCTCATACGGGATGCCAGAGTTGCAATGACTTAACCCACTATTCCACATTCCCTCACCTTACTAATGCAAATTTTATCCCTACTGCTTACTAACTTTGTAATTTGAGTAAGATACTTGATTTCTCTCTGCTTCATTTACCTATCTGTAAATAGGGATAATAATACCTACCTCCATAGGGTTATTGTGATGTTTAAACGTATTACTATAAATAAAGTACTTAAAGCAGCCTAGACTTGTACACACAGAATGTTAATTATTATTATTCACATATCAGTGATATTTTAGATGAACTGAAGTGACCTAGAGAATGAGTATAGGTAAGATGAGAGTGGGAGAGAGGGATCCCTGAAGAATTCAGAAATTGGAGGGGAGCTGACAGGGGTGGGGTAGGAGTCAATCCAAGGGGGGCGTAGTGGCTGGAACCCAACTTTGTGATGAAAATTTTTCTAGGGACAGAAGTCATCAACTTGGACAAATTTTACCTGAGATGAGGACCAAAATTGACTTGATGGAAATTGATGGATATCTTGAAAAGTGAATAATGGTGGAAATCAAATCCTGATTGGAATGGGTTAATAGAGCAAGTTACTAATATAGAATTGGAGACAGTGAATATAGGTGAATCATTAGTGGATTATTCTATAGAGTGGAACAGAGAAAATATAGTGGTAGTTAGAGATAATTTTGTTGGGTCAGGAAAAGGTAGTACTGGATATGTGTGTTAATTTAAAGTTGGGAGATAGCAAAACAAATTGTAAGCTGGGCCCGGCAGCGTGGCCTGGCGGCTAAAGTCCTCACTTTGAGTGCACCGGGAAAAACAAATTGTAAGCTAATGAGAGTGATCCAATGGGAAGAGAAAAGTTGGTGATATTTGTGTGACATGGGAAATTGCAGCAGCAAAGAACCTGAACAGAAGAAGTGTCTAAATGTATGGGGCAGCAGATATTAGTCTTAAGATATTGCAGATACATGATGATAGAGAATAATAATGGAGGTAAAGAGATTAATAGATTTGATTATGAGAAAATGAGGGCTTTTTCCTAATTGCTTTGATTTTTCCAAGAAGGAAGAGAATGATAATCAATTGAGAATAAGAAATAAGGAGGAGTTTGTAATGTTTATGGGAGAGGAGGTGTCTTGGAAGATAGGAGAATGAATTGGTTAGGGAGATCCATTGGCTAGGATGGATTGTCATTGAGTTTAGATCTGTTTGACATTTGTGGTCATTGAAGGGATCCTTGCTGGCTCAGAAGCCAAGTACAGTGCAGAGGGAGTGCAGAGTGGGAAGGGGTAGAAACAGGTCTTCCTTGCAACAATCCAGGAGGTGTTCTTGGAACATTTCTCAGGTCCATATCGAGTTCCTAGAGATGGTTGTGTTGCCATCTGTCCTTGGATAGATAGTTTTTACACAGCAGACCTTGGGACACTTTCAATGAAGTGTTTTTGTTTGGTTGGTTGTGTAAAAAATGTAAAATGTTCTAATTGAGAAGTGTTCTTGTTTTCCCCAAAGGACATAAAATCCTTACCAAAGTTTTCCTTAGGACTTGTGGTTTCTGTTAATCTGGAGCTCTCATTCATAATTGGCTTTTTTGTGCTTCATCCAACGTTTATTCTTTTCTTTAAGGTGCTGGAGAATCCGGTAAAAGCACCATTGTGAAGCAGATGAAGTAAGTTGAAACATGACCTTTTGTAAGAGTGTATTTCCTCTCAATGAGTAAAAACAAAAAATCCATAGTATCTTTTTAAGCTCTGTGGAATATTGACTTGTGGTTTTCTTCCTTTTAAAGAATCATTCATGAGGATGGCTATTCAGAGGAAGAATGTAAACAGTATAAAGTAGTTGTCTACAGCAATACTATACAGTCCATCATTGCAATCATAAGAGCCATGGGACGACTAAAGATTGACTTTGGGGAAGCAGCTAGAGCAGTAAGTATGGCTTATTTCTTCTTTGCTTGCTTTTACTCAGTCAGTACAGTTAAACCAAATTTACATCACATTTTAGGGAAATGGATTTAAGCACCAGTGTAAGATGTGGGAAAGTACTTTGTATTCATTTGATCAACATTATCAGTCTGCTTTAGAAGATGTTAGAAACTGCTGCCTGCAGTGCCAGTATCCCATATGGGTGCGAGCTCAAATCCTGATGCTGTTTCCATCTAGCTCCTGCTATGTATGTGGCTCAAATGCTTGGGTCTCTGTACCTGTGGGAGACCCAGAGTAGGCTTCTGACACCTGACTTCCGACTGGTCCAGCTCAGTCATTTGGCCCTTTAGAGATTTAAACAGTAGGAAGAAGATTCTCATTCTCATTCTCTCTTTCTCTCTCTTTCTCTCTCTCTCGTGTGTGTGTGTGTGTGTGTGTGTGTGTGTGTGTGTGTGTGTGTCTGTCTGTCTGAAACTCTGCTTTTCAAATAAATGAACCTTTAAAAAAGAAGAAATTAGATTATTGCAATAAAAGTTTAGGAAGAGTGATTCTGTGCATTTTATTGTGGGTTTCTACAATAACTCTTGAACTGCTGCTTTAAAGAACTGTTAACTTTTTATAGTAGTGAATGAGAATTATGGCAATTAAAATAATAAAAAAAATAAAGGTCACCATGATACATGGTTCTGCTTTGTGATTATAGAAATTAAAGGCAAAAACCCATCTCTCAGAATAAACTCTGGGAGTACTAAGTCCAAATTTTAGAGGTGATTTCCAGATATTCAGGAATACTGCAGGGGCCTAGCACAGTAACCTAGTGGCTAACGCCCTTGCCTTGCATACACCAGGATCCCATATGGGCACCAGTTCGTGTCCTGGTCCTGGTGACCCAGCTTCCCATCCAGTTCCCTGTTTGTGGCCTGGAAAAGCAGTAGAGAATGGCCCAAAGTCTTGGGGCCCTGAACCCATGTGGGAAATCCAGAAGAAGCTCCTGGCTCCTGGCTTTGGATCAACTCAGCTCTGGCCGGTGTGGCCACTTGGAGAGTGAATCATCTGATGGAAGATCTTTGTGTCTGTCTCTCCTTCTCTCTGTATATGTGCCTTTCCAATAAAAAGAAATAAATCTTTAAAAAAAAATACTATAGCCCCACTGCATTGAACCATAGGGTATAGGATTGAATTCTGCCTTATCCTGTTTCAGATCTCCAATGCCTTGCATGTGTCAGATAGAACCAAAAGCTTGCAGGTCTGCCTGAAAATGCAAAAATCAAAGTGTACATATCTGAAGTAGCTTCAGAGCTCCTGCAAACTCCAACTTATCAAGTACAAATTAATGCCCAACAAATAAGCAGGAAACTTGAGGGTGAAAGTGTTGAATGGGTCATTGGATGATGTTACAATAGAAAGTATGTTAGAAATAGTTTAGGAGGAGAAGCAAAATTAGGTAAAGTGGTGGGGGAGAAAATTAGCAGAAAAGAAAGCAGTGAATATGATGTTTATATTTTTGTGAAAAAATGCCACATCATTAGAAGCTTGTCTTGTCTCCGAGTAGAGAAAGTTCAAAGTTCGTAGTTGTTAGCTCTTCCTCTCCCATCCCTTTTCTTCTTTTCCTTTTTTTGAACCAGCTCTTTCCTTTGGGCTTATTTTCTTCCTCCCCCTTGTTTTAATTCTTGCCTATCACCTGACTCTACTTCTCTGTTGTCTTCTAGCTGGTCAGTGGTGCAGTATTTACTTTCTTACCTCTGTTGGTTTTTCTCTGTTTTAGTTAATCTAGTCCTCCACACTCTTGTACATACACTTGAGATTATTCATCCCCTCTCAGGATCCTGAATCATCATCTAGCTTTCAAACATCTACTCATTCTAATATATAATTTATGTACTTTCTTGAATCTTCTTTCTTGGTTGTGGTATAGTAGGCAGAGGCTCCACCTGTGGCACCAGCATCCCATCCCATAAGTTCAAGTCTCACCTACTTCACTTCCTGTTTTTTTTTTTTCCCCTTTAAGGTTTTATTTTTATTGGAAAGGCAGATATACAGAGAGGAGGAGAGACAGGAAGATCTTTCACCCGATGGTTCACTCCCCAAGCGGCTGCAATGGCTGGAGCTGAGCCAATCCAATGCCAGCAGCCAGGAGCTTCTTCCAGGTCTCCCACGTGGGTGTAGGGTCCCAAAGCTTTGGGCAGTCCTCATCTGCTTTCCAGGCCACAGGCAGCTGAATGGGAAGCAGGGCTGTTGGTGTTAGAACCAGTGCCCACATGGGATCCCAGCACATTCAAGGTGAAGACTTTAACTGCTACACTATTGCACTAGACCCGTTGCTTCACTTCTGATCCAGTTCCTTACTAAAGGAACAGAGGATGACCCAAGTGCTTGGGCTCATGCACCCATGTGGGAGACCCTGAGGAAGCTCCTGGCTCCTTGTATCAGACTGGCCCCAGCTCCAGTTGTTGCAGCCATTTGGGGAATGAAGCAATGGATGGAAGATTCACTCACTCCCTCTTCCTGTTTTCTTTCTTCTTCTGTGTGTGTGTTTTTTTTTTTTTTTTGGCTTCTTTCCCAGGCACATCAACAGAGCTGGATCAGAAACGTAGAAGCTGGGACTACCTGCTACACCACAATGCTGGCTCCTAGCAAAATTACTTTGCATGCACTGTAGTTCTGTTCTGCTTAGGTAGATGTATAGGTTCTCATAATGTGCAAGTCTTGCTAATTTTAGGTGGTAGTTTTACCTATTAGTCTGAAATGCTGTTTGTTTTGTCCTGGTGCTTTTAAGATGCAAGTGATTACTCCCCTTTCCTCTTTGTCCTTTATGCAGTATGTGCCTTATAAAGTATTTGCCTTTTTTTTTTTAATAGTTTTTTGGATTCTCTTGAGAATGATAAATAATATATTTGGAAGGCAGGTTATCCTGACACCCAGGTTTATTTTTAAACTGAAAAGTAAAAATGACTAGAATAAAATAAAATAGTCTAAAGAGTCTTACAGTCATTTTCTGCCTTCCCTACTTCTCCATATATTTTAGGTTTCAAAACTAGAACCACTTGCAGATCTATGTTATGACTCATGAAGTTGAGATCATGTCCTGTCTTGTTCTTTTCCTTCTGCTGCCTTCCTTCCCCTGTCTTAGAGCATTATCATTATTCCTTTGGGGGAAATTCAGCTGCTGTTTGAATTTTCCCTGAGGGATTTACTCCCCACACTAGGCTTCCAGACTTCTTAAATGATTCAGTCTTCTCTTCCTGTTCTGTCTGGACTAAAAGGAAAGAAGAGAATGGGTTTCCTTAAACTTGATTAATATTTTACTCCCTTTGATGCGCTGATTTTCATTTCTATTTTTATTTAAGGCTTCTTTAATAGAGTTGATGGTGTTAATTACATGTCTCACAGACCAAAAGGCATGTGTGATCAACGTGGAGATTGGTAGATCAGAGATCTTTTCTGGTGGTAGTGGTGAGGTGTGGAGCAGCAAAGTAGAAGTACAATTATTTCTTATATTAGTTCAGCACTTGAACTAGAGTGGAATGAGAAGGGTAGAAGACTTAATTGTAAATTCTCTCACACCTCCCTTCCTGCCAGAAAAGGTCTCTGTGGTGCTACTTTTATTAATTTCTTTATTATTATTTTTTTCAAAGTGCATTTCTGCTTGTGTGGACATGCTGGCACGCACATTGTAGAGGTTGTCCTCAAGTCTTGAAGACAGGGACAATGACTTCTTTAACTTCTCCCTCCAGGATGATGCCCGGCAATTGTTTGTATTAGCTGGCAGTGCTGAAGAAGGGGTGATGACTCCAGAATTGGCAGGAGTGATTAAACGGTTATGGCGAGATGGAGGCGTGCAAGCCTGCTTCAGCAGATCCAGGGAGTATCAGCTCAATGATTCTGCTTCATAGTAAGTCATTCTTCTCTGTGAAACTATGACAGAAAAAAACTTGACCCTAGAGCAAGTTCAGTGTGCATCCACACAAGGAAATGTTCACCTAATATAGACTTTTAGAAGTCTCAGGGAGCCTCAAAACAGTTTTGGAGTAACATTATAGAAAGACAGAATTCCCTCTGGGAAAGCAAACAGGAGATCTGGCACTACCAAATGAGCTCCATGGTCTGTGCCTAGTCCGTAGTAAGCAGCTGAAGGAGGAAAGACACCTGCTGTGGCTGAGTGCGTCCTGAATTTCCTCCAGCTCTGTAAGTTCTCTCTGCAGGAGGGTATGCAGCTGAAAGCTGGCCTGAGAGGGAGATGACAGTCGTGATACCCCTTTTTAGGCAGCCAGCTATGCTGGGTTATGCTGTGGATTTCTGTGGTACCAGTTGCTGCTTACAGATCTTTTGCCAGTGGACAATATAGGTTTTGTATAGAAGGACAAAGTTGAGTATGAAAGGAAGTTGAAACATCTTTTTGTCAAATTCTCTGGGATGTTACAGCTTAAGGAATTTTGTAATTGATGATAGTCTTTATACGCATTCCTATATTTTGTCTCTTGTACACATATTTATTTATTTACAAGACCTGTATTCAGCTATTGCAACCATTTGAACTTGTGATATAGAATGTGTTCACCACTAGCAGTGGTGTAACTGGGTGCACAGTGATGCCTGCCATAGGAGCTTTTCTTCAGGGAGAGTCAAGCTATCAGGTCTTTTTTATTTTTTTTTTTAAGCTTTGACAGTTTAGTAGAATTAATATCATTTTTGTTTGTGTAGTACATACTATGATTATTTTGTGTTGGATTCTCATTTTTTTCCTCATCATTTCTGTGATACCAAGATCTGATTTCCTCTGTCACTTCAGTGACAAGTTCAGAATCTTTTAGCAAGGGATTAGTTAAGACTTTTGACTTGCTGTGAACGTGGTTGGCTTTGCCAGGTAAAAATATGTATGTATTTTATTTAGTTACCTAAATGATTTGGATAGAATATCCCAAACCAACTACATTCCAACTCAGCAAGATGTTCTTCGGACAAGAGTCAAGACCACAGGCATTGTGGAAACGCATTTTACCTTCAAAGACCTGTACTTCAAGTAAGTCATTTGCCTTTTTGTTGAACAATTGTCTTTCCTTAGGTTGGCATCTCTTAACCAGGATAAAAATTTCTCTAGGCAGTATACCTTAGTTAGAAACTTACCTTATTCACCATTACTTGAATGGTTTGACTGGATCCATGCGCTAGCATTTCTTCTTTATCTAACATGTATCAAAATTTGTGATCTTGTGAATTAAAATTCAAAATTAAATTCTAACTTACTTACAAAATAGAACTAATCATGTGGTTGCCAATTTGTTTTATTTTTAATTTTTATTGTCATTTTAGTTTTGTTAGACTAACCAGAATAGATATTGAATGTCATTAAGATGACAATATTAAGCATACAGAAAACTAGTTTTGGGGTGCTTATTAACTAGCCTTGTTCTGCCCTTTTGTTGTTAAAATTGTTTTTCTTATTGTTACTTCTTTCTTACTGGTTTTCATCTTGTAAGTATAATGAAATGGAGTTAATACTAGGCAGGCTCTTGGACTGATTTTTGTGTAAAGTCATGTACAGGATAATGGGATGGCAGATAGAAAGGTCTAGAATTCTGTTACAAGGAATTTTCTCATTAGTGTTTCCTGTACAGGCTCAGCTTCTCTCTGTGCTAAATGCTCTTCTGTAAATATTAGAGCTGTCTTCTTGGTTTCTATTTTCTGCTTTTGTGACCTTTGAGATTAAGAGTGAACTTTTTCCTTTACCATTTGATGTATTTTTTACTTACCTTATGTGTATTGGTAGAATCTGAGAATCAGCATTATTCCTAGCACTGAAACCTTGAATTTTCAGGGTTTTTTCTTTCTGGAAACAGTTCTCCACAGGATTTATGAGATCCACATATGGTTTATATATTACTAGATACCTTTTGCAATTTAAAAATATTAATATACCAATCAAATTTGCAACATGGTACAGAAAATAGCAGTTCAGCTGAATGCTTTTTGGAATAGAGTAGCTACTTATCTTGAACTTAAATTTAGTAAAGCAGCAAAACAATGTGGATGATCACCTGTGAAACTGTAAGAATGAGCTGTTTTTGTGTCATATCTTATAGTAATTCACTTATAATTGTTATTACCATTATTAGTGTGGGAAAGGTTCTTATTGTCAAAGACTGAACTTTAGGTAAATCCTGTCTTTTAATGCCAGGACTAGTAGCCAGCTCTGAAGTGCCACACCCACTTTATTGTTGGCATGTAGATATCTTGTTATGAAGTACTATCACTTCTTCCTTTTCCTCTTCTCTCTAGGCAAAACCACTATCCATTTATTCAAACATTTATTGAGCATCTACCATATGCAAGGCATTGTCTAATTGCTTACTTGCCTCTCAGTTATGAGGTAATGTTTATAAAATGTTGATCTATTAGTGAATGATACTGTAAAATGTTAATATGTGCTAAAAGCCCGCTTGGAAAGTCACAGTATTGTTACCAGGTTAATGGACTTTATTGAAGAAAATGAGGAAGTAAACTACAATTAATGATGTAGTGGTATGTCCCTCCCTTGAAAGACTGTCATGATAAAATGCTAGGCATTAGCCTTTCTAAAACATACACTATGACCGTGTATTAAAGCCACTTTTGATTGTGTCATTCCTGTGGTCATGACTAGAAGTTAAAAAGAACTGTGTAAGATAGGTTAAAGGGAAGAATTGGGTCATGACAGAGATAAGATGAATGTTCCCTTTCAAACATACATTGGGAAATTACCAGCTATGTCTTACCTGTTTCAGTATCTGGAGGTAGGAAGGGAAGTTCTCTGAAACTTTGGGCCTTTGTGTAAATCTGACGTATTAAACCAATTTGGCAAAATTGAGCCTTTAGAAATGTTAGGATTGTCATCAAACATAGATGTTAAAACGTGTCTGATGATTTGCATGCAGACCAAAGCATCAACTAAAAAGACAGAGTGGCACAGGTGTCCTAATTGCTGTGGAGGTAGTTAAGGACACTGTTGACTCAGGATATCAAATAAACTCCCAGAGAAGAGTAGTGGACTAAAACTGATGTAGAGTGGAACATGGAGGATATGAATAATTGAGGCTTTATTATTATTAATTAGGTTCAAGGAAGACTTGGAGTTTAGAAATATTAACTAAGTTTTTTTTTTAGGTACTGAGTTCTTGGAATTCAACTATAAAATAAAATTTTTTCACAAGTGATCTTTAAAATGTTTTCCTTTAAGTGAGGAAAACCTTTCAAAGCATGGAAAAGTTACGGAAGAAGAATACAAATTAAGAACTTGGGCACAAACCACTCAGAGGTTGAGTGTTGCAAAGTGAGGCAGTAGAGCTGAGTGGCAGGGCTCAGATCCTCAGTCCCCATTTATTAGTGTGCTGCACGCCCGTGGGCAGTCCTCATCTGCTTTGGCTTCCTCATCTGGAAGGCAAAGGACAATAATATGGGAATGTTACAAGGGTAAAATAATGTTCTGTACGGTAGTTAGGGTAGTGTCTGGCACCATGGTAAACACTCAATAAATATTAGTTACTATTGCTATCTTACGCTGTTATTCAACTTCATTTTTCCTGTCTTTTTTCTCCCCTTCATTTTTCTTTAATTCATCTCAGTGCTTATTCTGGTGACTTGTGATGCATCTGATGCAAACTTTGAGAGAGGAGGCTTGACTGTTTAAAATGAAAATTTAATTTGCTCCTAAATTTTATTTTCTCAAATTGTTCTTTTATGTTAGCCACAGATAATTATTTTGAGTACATTTTATTTGCTCCTTGTTTTTTTTTTTTCCATTATAAATGAATTTTTGAATATGGAAGAATGTGAAGTTTCCTAATCATGTCAGTTTAGGAAGAGGTATATGTGTGATGTTGCTAAATTTGTGCTGTCTTTCCCTTCACTCAGGATGTTTGATGTAGGTGGCCAAAGATCAGAAAGAAAAAAATGGATTCACTGTTTCGAGGGAGTGACTGCGATCATCTTCTGCGTGGCCCTCAGTGATTATGACCTGGTTCTGGCTGAGGATGAGGAAATGGTGTGTTGGAGATTTTGGTAAAAAGTTGGTCTAATGCAGCCAGGAAGAGGAAAGTAACTAGCGCTGACTGGATGCATCCGTTTGCTTGTTATAACAAAGCTTAATAGCCTTAGTATTCTGATTTATCAGGGAGGTTAGCTGATACCCTATGATGAGTGAGCTAATTAGATCTTTTGGTTGGTGCGGCTGGAGGTGCACTAGATTAAGCCCTGTGACCAGCAGGCGTCCCTTCTGATCCAGCTCCCTGCTCATGTGCCTGGGAAAGCAGCAGGAGATAACCCGAGTGCTTGGCTACTATAACCCATGAGGGAGGCCCAGCTGTTTCAGCCATTTGAATAGTGAATCAATGGATGGACAGTTTCTCTCCAATTCTTTTAAATAAACAAACAGTTTTTTTAAAAAAGAAACCCTTTTATTAGCTCTTCTAATCCCAAAGAATTATCAAAATGAGGACTGACTCAGCTTTCAAGTGTATTTCCATGAATTTCATTCAGTACTTAAAGCCTGTTGATCTTTTTTTTTATTGTTATTATCGTTTTCTTTTTTTTTTTTTTTTAAGACTTATTTATTTTTATTGGAAAGTCAGATATGCAGAAAGAAGGAAAGACAGAAAGATCTTCCATCCACTGGTTCACTCCCCAAGTGGCCGCAATAGCCGAAGCTGAGTCAATCCCAAGCCAGAAACCAGAAGCCAGGCACTTCTTCCAGGTCTCCCACATGGGTGCAGGGTCTCAAGGCTTTGGGCCGTCCTCAGCTGCTATCCCAGGTCACAAGCAGGGAACTGGAAGGGAAGTAGAGCCACTGGGACACAACTGGTGCTCATATGGGATCCAGATGCATGCGAGGCAATGACTTTAGCTACTAGGCTATTGCACTAGGCCCTGATCTATTATTTTGAAGTTATACTACTTTTACTGTCAGTACTAATCTGTCATCCTTTGATTCTTTTTCAGAACCGAATGCATGAAAGCATGAAGCTGTTTGACAGCATTTGTAACAACAAATGGTTTACAGATACTTCAATCATTCTCTTTCTTAACAAGAAAGATCTTTTTGAAGAAAAAATTAAAAGGAGTCCTTTAACTATCTGTTACCCAGAATACACAGGTAAGGGTCAGGTGAGGGTCGGGGAAGATCTCCTTAGAGGTACACATTGCACATCAGCACTTTGGTTGATCAAACAGTGGCTTTTTGTTTTGAATGATTTGTATAATACACATCTTTGAGTATATTTGCTGGTAGCAATGTTTGTATTAAATATATGATTCCGATTTCTTTAAGTTTCAAATATCATTTCAGACATAACCAGATGTTTATGTTTTGAATTTTTGTCCTGATTTTTGGGGAAAAAAGCGAAGGACAAAACTTACAGTTTGGTCCATGTTTAAGAAAACCTGAGGGTCACACAGAATCTCTGTACCCAAGAAAGTGACATCTAGTTGCAGAGACATGCACACACAGGAATAATTTTATAGTAGTATAAAATGTGCGTTTGTAGAAAACAAGCAGTTACCTCAGATGGGATCGGGGAGATCTAATCTACAGTAAATGACACCAGAATGAGCTTTTTCTTTTTCAGATTTGTTTATTTATTTAAAAAACAAGAGAGAGAGAAAAAGGCAGAGCTCTTTTTATTTACTGGTTCATTCCCCAAATACCTGCAGCAGCCAGGACTGAGCCAGGCTGAAGACAGAAGCCCTGGAGTTCTAAGTCTCTCACTTGGGTGGCAGGGGCCCAAGCATTTTTTATGTGCCGGGCACTCGAACGACAGTGGAATAATGAGTACCTAAACCAGTGGCTGTATGGGATATCAGCATCACAAGCGGTGGCTGGGCCACACACTGGCCTCTTGAATGAGCACCTAAGAGGATGAATTAAAAATCATCAGGCACGTGGAAATAATTATATTTGCAAGAAATGTAATTGCCTACATGAAAATATAGCAAGAAATTAACACCTGGGGCCCGGCGGCGTGGCCTAGCAGCTAAAGTCCTCACCTTGAACGCACCAGGATCCCATATGGGCGCCGGTTCTAATCCAGGCAGCTCCACTTCCCATCCAGCTCCCTGCTTGTAGCCTGGGAAAGCAGTCGAGGACGGCCCAAAGCTTTGGTACCCTGTACCCTTGTGGGAGACCCGGAAAGAAGTTCCTGGCTCCTGGCTTCGGATTGACGGAGCACCAACCATTGTACTCACTTGGGGAGTGAATCATCAGACAGAAGATCTTCCTGTCTCTCCTCCTCTCTGTATATCTGACTTTCCAATAAATAAATAAATCTTAAAAAAAAAAAAAGAAATTAACACCTGGAGAGATGGTGGGATAAACCCATGTAGATTCTCTTTCAAGCTTTATTTACTTGAAAGGCAGAGAGCAAGCTGGTGAGCAACTAGCTCCCATCCACAGGTTTACTTCTTAAATGGCGACAGCAGCTTGGGCTGCACCAAGATGAAGCCAGGCGCCAGGAATCCATCTGGGTCTTCCGTGTTGCTGGCAGGGGACCAAGTACTTGAGTCGTCTTTCCCTTATGTGTTACCCGGAGGCTGGGTCAGAAGCGGAGTAGCTGGGATTGGATCAGTGCTCTAAGATTGGATGCCAGAGTTGCAGACAGTGGCTTGATTCCCTGTGCCATGATGTGAGCTCCTCATTCTACTTCTAGGAATTGGAGCATTTTAATTAGGGTGCATAAAGTAGCAGAAGCTGTGCTCTAGAAAGATTATGTGGAGACTGAAAACATAGATAATAGGGGAAGGAAGTTAATAAAAAATTAGACTGTAAAAAGCTCTGGTGATCATCAGAGGATGTTACATAGAAGTCATGGGCTAGGGTGCTGCTGGGTGTTAGGATGGAATTAGAAGAAACACGGAAGTGTCAGGAACCCCGGAAGCATGCTTCCCCGCATCTCCTTTCTCTCCTTCCTCTTTCTGTACATTTTCTTTATTCTCTCCTGCCTTTGTACTCAGTTAATGATATGAGATGACCTTACTACATTTCCTGTGAGTCTCCTTTGTTAAAAAGCTCAGGTTAGACTCAGATTGCTTGACTATATATATATATCCCAAAACAGACAGAAAAGGCACATTGGTGGTTACCTTGGGACAGAGAACAAAGAAATGAGGAGTGATTAGCTAATAAGAAGAGGGTGTTGTGGGATAGGGAACTACTAAATTGTACACCTTTAAAATGGTTAGATATGTTAACTATTGTGTTTCCTTCAGCAATTAAGAAAAAGAGTTGAGGCTGAGCAGTTACTTTTCAAGCAGGAGCTTTCTAAGCAAGGCAGTGGGCTGAGAAACTAAGATGTTACTGAATTTCCCATGGCCTCTAAATCCTCTGGGTAGTTAAGAATGTAGTCTTCTGTTAAAAGTGAGAAAATAAAGTGAGATTTGGGTGACTTTATAGAAAGTAGCCATGTTGGAGCTCCAGTGGCACAATCAGTTAGTGCGTGGTACTTATACAGAAAGTAGCCACGTTTTAGGATAGGGAGAAAAGGCTTACTTGAGAAAGTAAAGGCGAGGGAGCAGCACTGAGGCACAGTTGAGTTAATGCTGCTGCTTGTCCTGCCAGCAGAGTGCCAGTTGAGTCCCAGCTACTATGCTTCCTACCCAGTTCCCTGCTAATGCTCATTAGGAAACAGTAGATGAATGACCCAACATCTTGGACTCCTGCCACACATGTAGGGGACTAGGAGGCTAAGGTGGGATTCCTGGCTCCTGGTTTCAGCTCACTTCAGACCTGCCTGCTGGCTTTGGAGGAATGAAGCACAATGGAAGCTCTCCATCTCCATCTCTCCTTTTCTTCCCTCTCCTTAGCTCATTCTCATTTTAGATTGATAGAAGATAGATAGTCTTTTTTTTTTTTTTAAGATTTATGTATTTTGGGCCTGGCACAATGACTCAAATGCTATATCCTCACCTTGCTGGCACTGGGATCCTATATGGTCCCTGTACATATTCAGGTTGCTCCACGTCCCAGCCAGTTTCCTGCTTGTAGCATGGGAAAGCAGTCAAGGATGGCTCAAAGCCTTGGGACCCTGCACCCGTATGGAATATCCAGAGGAAGCTCCTGTCTCCTGGCTTCGGATTGGCTCAGATCCAACTGTTGTGGCCACTTGGGGAGTGAACCAGTGGATGGAAGATCTTTCTGCCTGTCTCTCCTCTCTGTAAACCTATCTTTTCAATTTAAAAAAAAAAAAAAAAAAAAGACATCACTTGGTGTGCCCACATTCTGAGTCAGAGTAACTTCTGATTCTAACTTCCTGCTAATACACCCCAAGGGAAGCAGCAGATGATTTATTTATTTATTGTTTTTAAAGATTTATTTTTTTATTGGAAAGATAGATTTGCAGAGACCAGGAGAGACAGAGAAAAAGATATCTTCTGTCCACTGGCTAACTCCCCAAGTGGCTGCAATGGCCAGAGCTGAGCCAATCTGAAGCCAGGAGCCTTCCCCAGGTCTCCCAGGTGGGTACAGGGTCCCAAGGCTTTGGGCTGTCCTTGACTGCTTTCCCAGGCCACAAGCAGGGAGCTGGATGGGAAGTGGAGCAGCTGGGACATGAACCAGCATCTGCATGGGATGCTAGCCACTGAGCCACCACCCTTGTTCCAGATGATTTTACAAGTACTTGAATCACATTTGGAAGACCTAGATTAAGTTCCAGGATTCTTTGTTTGGCCTAGCTCAGTCTCAGATGTAGGCATCTGGGGAGTGAACAGTCAGTAGAAGATTCGTTCTCATTGTGTCTCTGTCTCTCTCTCTCCCCTCCCAACCCCGTTGCCCAAATAAATTGTAAAATTAAGAATCCAAGTTAGAGGGTTAACATTAACATTGAAGGCTGAACCAGGAGTCTAAATGCAAAGCAGAGGTAGGGCAGGCATAGCATCTTAGAAGGCTAATCCTCTGTCTGCAGAGCTGACATCCCATGTGAACACCGGTTCATATCCTGCCTCCTCCACTTCCCTTCCAGCTGCCTTTTTGTGGCTTAGGAAAGCACCAGAGGATGACCCAAAAACTTGGGACCCTGCACCCATGTGGGAGACCTGGAAGAAGCTCCTGGCTTCTGGCTTGAAATCAGCTCAGCTCCACCATTGCAGCCTTTTTGGGAGTAAACCAGTGGATGGAGGATCTTTCTGTTTCTCATCTCCATATGCCCTTCTTTCCAATAAAAATATACAGATCTTTAAATGTGTGTGTGTGTATGAATAGTAACAGTTTGACTTAGAGTTCAGGCAGCTTTCTCTTTTGTTTTTTAAGATTTATTTAAAAGGCAGTTACAGAGAGAGTTGGGGATGGGAGGAGGGCAGAGAAGAAAAAGAAATCTTTCATCCTGTGTCCTGGCTTACTTCCTAAATGGCTGCAGTGGCCATGATGGCTAGGCCAGGCTTATGCCAAGAACTTAGAACTCCATCCTTGTCTCCCACAAGTATGTTTGGGGCCCCTGTTCTTGGGGCCATCTTCCCGATGCTTTCCCAAAGTTATTAGCAGGCAGGTGGATCAGAAAGTGAAGTAGCCAGTACTTGAACTGCCATGCATATGTAATGCCAGTGTCCCAGGCAGCAGCTTAACTTGCTGCACCACAACTCCAGTCCTTCAGGCAGCTTTTATAATCTGGACTGAGCCTATTGAATGTCTGTTTTAGGTTCCAATACATATGAAGATGCAGCTGCTTACATTCAGTGTCAGTTTGAAGATCTGAACAGAAGAAAAGATACCAAGGAGATCTACACTCACTTCACCTGTGCCACAGACACCAAGAATGTGCAGTTTGTTTTTGATGCTGTTACAGATGTCATCATTAAAAACAACTTGAAGGAATGTGGACTGTACTGAAGGGTGTGAATGTTTATACAAGGTGAAATTTTGAACATTTCAGTTATACTGCTGTAGGACTGCTCTCTTGGCTTTGTAGACTTTTTCTAATTCAGACTGTTCTTCTCTTCTAGTTTCTGTGGTGGTGTGGAGTGTTGAGACCAGACGTCTGTGGCTGTCTCGTAGGCAGTGCAAGCATGGTGGGACCAGACACGGCGGCAGCATGTGGAATTCTAGCACTCTGTAGCACAGTCTTCTCTCTTAAGGAGCTTGCATGTGACCTGACATGCTCACAGCAGACATTGGAATTGGGCAACTGTAGAGCATAATTTGACCATCAAGACATCATTGGATTTTGTAATTTCGAATGTTTAGGGCAGATGTGAAGTTTGAGGTGCTGCATTCCAGACCTTCAATATGTAGCTTACTTGTGTTTCCTTCTTAACCAGCCCCCTAATGGTCCTTTTTTAAAGGTTTTTGTTTCCTCAAGAGAATAGCTTCACTAAATTTTTTTCTTTGTTTGCGAAAGAATCTTTATTAAAACACAAACCTATGCACATGATGTGATAAAGATCATCTTGAAAATATTCCTCTTAGTAGGAACTCTGTTTTTAACTCTTGGTATGGTCAACATATAGTATTTCTGTAATTACTTAAAATAATTCTTTCTGGTTATTGGGACTGTAAGTACAGTATCTTGGGTTGAAGCTTTTGTTACTCTCCTACTCAGAATATAGTTACCATTTCTGAATGGTATTTACCTTGGAGAGCTGTGCAGCAAGAGTCTAGCTTTTTTGTTTTGTTTTGTTTTTTTGTTTCTTTTTAAACTTATGGTTGGAGATTAACTTTGTTTATGCTGTTTACCAAATTACTAGATAAATGCTCATGTAGTATGCTAATGTCACCTTCAGATACAGACATCCCAGGCTGACTGCCAATTAGGAATACAAATTGCTAAGTTCCAAACAAAACTGGTAACTTCCTGCTACAAATCTACTAAATTGACTGCCTTGATTCTTGCTTGTTTGTCTTTATCATAGAGAGTTTTGTAGAGATGCCCCTCATTTTCCATCTCCATGGTCTTTTCTGTTTGGAGACGTCTTAAGATTAAGAATGCATGCTTTTACTTTGTAAATGTGGTGCCAAATCCATGTTTGCCATTGTTTTTACTGTAGCAATGTTAATTGTGATAATTCTTACCTAGAATGTTCTTTTGCTGAAAAACGATTGCTTTTTGGACTTTTTTCCCACTTTGTCATGTGTACAGATTTTAATCTGTTATAGTTGGCAGCAGTATTAAAATGGTGAGTAAAGAGTCCAGGTTTGCTCCTGTTTGTAACTAGTGCTTTCCGGAAATACTATCTTCTGTTTCCTTTTGCCCCTGTTAAATGTGGTTTGGCCTCTGACAGTGGGTGCACAGCAAAGGTTCCCTAAAGGTCTAATTCTTTGGTAAGAGGATTGTTGCATCTTGACCTTTGAGGGATTTATGTTGTATCTCTGAACCAGTGACATGCAGTCCTAATCTGTCTTCCAGATGTGCATTAGGCTGTGTGGGCAGCTGTACTCCCTTCAGCATGTAGGTCCTTCTGTACAGTGTACTGCAAGTGTCATTTGAATGGTCCCTTGGAAAAAGAGCATGAATTTTTAGCATTTCACATCAGTCGTCTCAACAGTGCCTTTTGGGTGCCAATCTTTTTGGATTGGATTCTTTTTCACCTTCTGATGTAACCCTTTACTATTTCAGAGGGGGAAAAACCAGCAAAAACCTTTGGTGATCCTTAGAGCTGCTTCAGAAGCAAGCCACAGTTCAGTGCCTTTGTGGTAGTTGAGTTTTCTTTCCTTTATTTGGTTGGGAAGGGAAGGTTGGTAACAAACACAACTATGCAGTCGTAATTGTGTTATCTAGCAAAACTTATGTTAGGGGAGGTGATGTGAAAGGAAGAACATTTTCAACTTCAGTTGGGAAATGACTTGTATGTCCATAATGTAAATAGGGTGGATAGTTCTTAGTCATTTTGAATATATGTTTTCTGTATTGTATTCTGTAACATAGAATCATCTGGAAATGAGAACTGATGAAATACCATTTTCAGTTGTAGTCTTTCTTTAGTCTGAGCTAACATGGTGTTGAAAATTTAAAATAACAGATAATCAAAAAATTAATTTGCTTTGAAATGCATTTTGTATTTGAATATGTCTGATGTGTCACTTTTTTAGACCTTCTGCTGATGAACAGTAGTAATTCCCCACCTCTGTGCTTTTGCACCATTTACATTTGTTCTGCATTTACAAGATCACCCTTACCCCACCATCCAGAATAACTAAATGCACATTTTGAGGATGAAGGAATACAGTTTGAATCAGTGGTTTCCAAATATGACTTAAATCAAAATCATCTGGACGCATCTCAGAGCCGGACTGTTGGCTGAAGGGCTGGCAAGCCGTGACTTTTAAAAGGAGATGCTGATCATCAGTCAGAGATGCAAGCCACTAGTCTGTGTTTTGAATGGAAAGATCCAGGGGCTCCAGAGTGTGGGAATAAAACATGAAACATGGAATCCACTGGCCTGAGGGAAAAGGATTGCTCTTTGCAATCAAAGAAGCAAGTGTTTGGGGGGATTGGCGTGGATAATGCTTCAGAATTTAGTTGGTGACAACTTTGGAAGATCTCTAAGTCAGCATATCTAAAAAAGGTAAAGTTTAATGAAGGTGAACAATAAATAGGTCTAGCAAGAAGGATGGCAACAGTAGCTTTATTTTGTTGACAGGCACATCTCCTTATCTGGGTAAAGAGGCAATCTCCTTAATGGGCAGGATTCACTAAGCCTCAGCCTCACAGCAGGTCGCAGGAAAATCCCAAACACCTTTGGATCTTGGCATAATGTATTTTCATCTTGGACAATTAGAATTTTAAATCTCTAGTTCAGTTTATCACCTTAGTTTTTTTACTGCTTATTTTTCACAAGGTGATGCAGTCAAAGAATAGATGGGCCTTTTTAAAAAAATGTATTGCCTTTTTAAAATTTTCATGTATTTATGCTTATATATGTATATATATTAGACTATTGAAAAATTGCTGATTTTTCTAATTCATTCACTCTGTATTCTCATAACCTGACAACCTTCTCTGGCCTATAGCTGTGACTTTGGACATTGGTTATTTAGCCTGTTACTTCATATATTTATCTGTTTGTTAAGCATGTGTGATATAGTTCTGGAATTTCCTGTTGCAGAGCTTGTTGCTGTGTTGTATTTATTATAAGGGATAAAATCAGTTTTTTCCTCAGTTAAAAATTTACCCTTCCAGGTGTATAAAAAAAAAAAAAAAACAAAAAGAAATCAGTCACCTAAAACTGCAGTAAGTTCATTTAGTCTTATTACTTAATGGAATATTTCCTTTCCCCCATGTGATACTGACTTGAAGAACAAAATTAAGTCAGTTTGCCAGTACTGCTGAGTAAGGATTATGTTCTATTTCAGACTTTATAATGCTAGTCTGAGATCTGACTCAGACAGCCACTCACTCTCCAGAAAGCTCAATTACCATCCTATTTGGTTACACCATTCTAAAACAGGCTGCCTGGAGACCTGAGATGAAAAGTTAGTTTTGGTGTTAACTATTAGGAGAGTTAAAGAAAGGTTTTATGAAATGTTAGGGAACTAATTCCTATGGTGGGCAAAGTCTTTTTTTTTTCAGCTTTTAAAATTCTCTCCCTAGTTTTCTCATTAGCTTTTTGAGTTTCTTCCACTGAGGACAGCTTGGTTTAGAACAAGCCAGGGCACGACAGTTTTACCCTGACATTGTGTCAACCCTGGGGCTGAGCTGCTCCAAGTATTTTCAAGAGTAAGAGGTCAAAAGGAATGTTAACATAGCAGTAGATAACTTGGGGTACACAGTTCATCTATACAGATTCCCTGCCTAAACTCTAATAAATATTTCTAAGCCAAGCACTGAGAGGAAATTCCTCAAGCGATTTTGATGCAGCCAACGTATAGAACAACTGAACATGATCTTACATCAAAGATTAATACAGATACTAAAGATAAATTACCTCAGAACACACAAGACCTCAAATTCACTAGTGAATGATTCTTTTTTTATTTGCCAGTAAGATACAACCTTTTGTGAATGCATAAGTGCCTGCCATTGTATGGGGACTGTTTGGTCAATGGCATTTCTGCATTTTAGAAATATACTATTTAGTTCATACAAATTTAAGAGATGAAATGGGGTATCTAGACATTTTTATTTCATTTGTTTTAGCACATTTATTTATACAGTGAACATAGAACACATCAAAGAAAATGCTGTGGTAGAAGTGACTGTATATACAATAACAGGAATATTGACTGTAGAGTTGGTGGATAAAGCAAAGCAGCTAGCTCTAAATTGTAGAATGAAAATCTTTGCAAATAGCTTGGTATGGGGAATCAAATCTGAAAGTTTTTGTGTATCCAGTATTAGTACTTTCTCTTCGTAAAATATAGAGGGACTCTCAAAGTAACAAGAATACTTAAATACTAATAACATTGTGGACAGATTCTGTCAGCATGTTAACATTTAGTACGCTGTACGATCTTTAACAGCTAGAACACGATTGATCTGTTTCTTGCTGTCCTCTACCACCCTCCCTCTACAGATATTCTCCAGACAGACATTTTACTAAGAAGTGTAAATATACATACATGTAAGAGTTTCCCAGTCAGTGGAACAAACCACAAGAAAGTACCTGTTCTTCGAGTTTGTTCTTCCTCATGTAGGATAAATGTCCTGACACTTCATTTCACAGTGCTGAGTGCCCATATTCCCTGCTTCCAGCCAGCCACCAGATCTTGTGGGAGCCAAGCTCTGTTTTCACATCCCTCATTGGTTAACCAGAGATGGACTAAAGTATTCCAGCTGTGATGCTTTGTGGATGTTCTTTGGGATACTGAGGATTATGCTACTGCCAAAAAGGAGTATCCTGACATAGCACCAACAAGTATATTCATTTTTCACTGGTGATCTTTGATCTTCAGGTTCTCCATCTTCATTCTGAAGACCTAAAATGAAGTATAAAGCAATAAATCCTAAAAAATTCAAAACAGCATTAAAAAGGTTTCTGGCATATGCTTCTGTTCAGTTCTTTTTCTCCTTTTCATACTAGAGCTTGCTTTTTCAGAGCCAGAAGGTAGAAAAGTTCCATTTTCCAGTCTCCTATCTGTCTGACCTCACAGAAACATCTTCACACATTTTTCAAGCAGGACTTTGAGAGGCTAAGGCACCCTGGCTGTCTCTGGTCCAGCACCAAGGTCCTGCTGGCAGTCTGAGCTCTGGGGCTGTGCTGGCAGGAGAGGGCAGCAGCCAGTCAGAGCTCTTCACCCTTCATCACCTTCACCCAGCATGGACGACACACTTTGGTCTATGGCTAATCTCCAGTTATATAGAGTGGACATTAAATGCTGCTGTGTCTCATCTTGGTGATGGGGGGCATGTAAGTGAATTTTATTATCACAATAGGATCCATTGCAAGTAAATGTTTATATTACTCTTATGACTGAATTATCATGCTGCTCTATCTATAGAAAACAAAGCACATTTCCAATTACAGTGGTATTATCTTTGACATTTGCCATTTTAATCATTTTTTAAGAGTATAGTTCAGTAGCTACAGCTCTGTCCTACTTCCAAAATAACTGCCCAGGGCCCAGCGCGATAGTGTGCGGCTAAAGTCCTCGCCTTGAACGCACCGGGAATCCCATATGGGCGCCGGTTCTGATCCCGGCTGAACTACTTCCCGTCCAGCTCCCTGCTTATGGCCTGGGAAGGCAGTAGAGGACGGCTCAAAGCTTTGGGACACTGCACCAGCATGGGAGACCCGGAGGAAGCTCCTGTCTCCTGGTTTCGAATTGGCTCAGCTCCATCTGTTGCTGTTACTTGGGTAGTGAACCATCAGACAGAAGATCTTCCTCTCTGTCTCTCCTCCTCTCTGTATATCTGACTTTCCGATAAAAATAAATAAAATCTTTTAAAAAGAAGAAAAAAAAGATACTGGGCTTCAACACCAGCATTCATCTCCGGTGCACTTACACCGACAACCCTGATCAATATGTACAAACTTTTGACCTACTCCAGTCAGTATATGATCTAGCTTGGAAGGATGTAGTGTTACTGTTAGACAATACTCTGACTTCCTTAGAGAGAGGGTACTGGAAAAGGCTGGTGAGGCTGGAAACAGTTATTATGCAGCTCAGGGGAAAAACATCAGAGAGAAGGCAAACATCCCCATTGTAGCAGAGGCAGTCCCTACAAAGAATCCCAACTGGGGGAAATAATAGTCTTACCCACTTCCCTATAGCCCTTGAACCTTTTTACCATAATTATGTAAAGATTGTCAAAAATATAATAAAAAAATCCCAACTGGGACCCACAGGACGAAAAACATGAGTGGGAATGAAATCATTTATTGTATCTTGGAAGGATTAGGAAGGGCAAAAGTTAAGCCTTTGAACTATAGCCAGCTCACCACTGTTCATCAGGGGGAGAATGAGCCACCAATGACCTTTCTAGAATGCCTCAAGGGGCCAATTGTGAAGTTCACCAATTTAGACCTAGATACAGGAGAAAGCTCCAAAAGCTTATGGCAGACCTTGATAAGTCCTCCTTGGACCAGTTGGTCCAGGCAGCCAATGCTATTTACTATAATTGAGACTTAGAAAAGGAAAGGCAGAAAGGCGCCACACTGAAATGCTGGGCGCTATGAGTGCATCCTTCTCAGGACAAAGGACCCTGTAGTACTGCTACAACTGGGAAGCCATTTTTGGAGAGAGTGCCCTCGAACCGCAGGCCAGGAGTTTCCTCCAGGACCCTGTCTCATCTGCAAGGGGGATCATTGGAAAATGGACTGCCCCCAGCTCTGGTCTCCCTGATGGTGAGCTCTCAAAAGGCCAATTTCTTGCTGGTCACAGGGGCTCAATTTTCTGCCTTGCCTTTCTCTCTTGGGCCAAGATCCGTTCAAAGTAACCATATGAGACACTTCTGGCCGTGGGCTTGTACTTGGGGATATCTCCACTTCGACCACTCTGTCCTTGTTATTCCAGAGACAC